GGCGGACAACTACGTTGATCGCAAGACCGCACGGTCGTCCTACCGGCCCCGGAACGTGCGTGCCACGACCGTCGTCGAACGAACTTCTGCTTGAGCTCTTTCCCTCCTCTAGCTCATGTCCCCCGGCCTGCAGCGCGCGCGCGAGCCCTTTCGCCTGCGCAACACTCTCACCGGTGTCATCCTCGCCGGCTTCGTGGTCGGCGTCTGGGCGTACTCGATCGGCGCCGTCAAGCAGGACGTGTTCGACGATGTGGACGAGGAGGCGCGTGCACTCATGGCCGGTTCCGGCATCCAGAAGGCCGAGAACGGCGCACCCGAGGGCAAGGCCGCCGCAGAGGCGTCGCGGGCCTCGCTCGACACGAGCCTCCCCCTCAACCACCCCACCCCGGCGGTCCCGTTGACGAGCGAGGTGCGCCCCGAGACGCGGTCGAGCGCGAGCATACCCCGGCGCGGTGTCCTGCCACCCCTACTCGAACAACGCTTCCCCACTCTACTGGACCCCTCGTCGAGGACTTTGGTGTGGGGCGCGCCGCCGGTGGATAATGTCGGGAGGATGCAGGATACGGCGCCCGGGAGCAAGCGGGCAGTTTAGGCGGCCACGCCCATCTGAAAAGTACACCATCCTCACCCCTCTGGCTTATGTAGAGATAGCATTGTACTCATACACTAATACACCGTCAACTCATAGGAGCAAGCACGCATGCAGATGGTAGCACCGAAAATCAAGAACAACATAGATCCTCAACAAACAGAGCGTAAGAACCTGAGAGCGAACCGACCGAGCCGTCCCGAGTACGGCCACATGGCCCTCCGTATCCTGGGCACGAACATCCTCCCCAGCAAACCCTCGCACAATGCCTGCACACCTGTGCGGGATGACCGGCTGCGCATGCCGCGGACATCCAGCGCGAGTCTGGAGACAAGGTGCCGGGGCTCAGACCGGAATCTGGCCTTCGAACTGCCTGCCCGCCGTGCGCCCGTCAGCGTCTACCCCCACTGCACAGGGAGCGTCACGTACGGGACGGGGATCCCGAGCTTGACGAGACCCTCCTTCGCGGCCTCGTTCCGCGCGGCCTTTTTTGTGCTCCCGCGGCCGGACCCGAGGCACTCGCCGTCGACCATCGCGCGCACGACCCAGATCGGCGTTGTCTTCGTGCCCTCGCCTGCGCTGTCCGAGTACACCCACTCGATGCTCCGCGACTGCTGCTGCAGGTGCTGGTTGAAGAGCGACAGGTGCCCGATGCTCGCCGGCATACGCGGCGGCGGCGGCGTCGACCACGTTTGCGCGGGCGCCGCCAGCGCGGTGCCGTTCGCCGCCGTACCCCCGGCGTGAATGTGGTATGACGGCGGCGGGGAGTGCAGGTATGGCGGGTCGGGCGCCAGGCCGTGTTGTACGCGCACGGTGCGGTAGGCCATTGTGAGGAACGGGCGGAGGAGCGGGTGCAGCCAGGCTTTGGCCGCTTCGAGACCCTGGTCGAGGTACAAACCGCCGACGAAAGACTGCAGTCAGGGTTAGCGTTGCGTCGTCTGCACACGGAAATGCATTGCTCGCCTCGAACAGATCAGCTATTGGTCACGGTCAGACTGAAGGTCCTAGCTCAGACTACGCGCGATACGCACCTTGGATGTTGGCGGAGGCGCGCAAGGTGATGGCCTGCGCAGGATGCATGCGCATGCGCTCCGGCAGGCTGTATTGCACGGAACTAGTACGGCCATTAGCACACGAAAGGGCTACAGGAAAACGGTACTTACATCCACGCTAGGGTAGGGTTGCCCACGATCAAAGCCCGGATTTTCTACCCACGCCCCCTTCAGAACCATTCGCAACGTTGCGCGCACGAGGCCAGGAACGCACCGTGGACGGGCCAACGCGCAGGCACGGGTACACGTCTCTCAGCAGTCCTGTGACGACCAGGCTGAGGACGGTGTCGCCCAGGTGCTCGAGCCTGCCCCCGGTCCTTCAGCACGCGCGCATCAAACACGGCGACAACGACGACAGCGCTCACGACTCGTTGTCCGGGCTGGGGTCGTCCGGCATGTCCTCGAAGACGTGCGTCGGGCGCGCGTAGAAGCTCCGGTGCGTGAACACCTGCAGGCGCAGCGCGTCCGAGCGGATCTCCGGCAGCGGCGGCAGGCCGTCCGGGAACTCTGGCCTGATAGGCGGAGTATTGTCAGCACAGGCTGAGGGTGCGCCCACCGGGGGTTGGTGTCGCATGCTGGACAGTCGCCGGTACTGACCTCAGCGCGATGCGCCCGTTGGGCATGTTGGGCCCTCGCGGGAGACCGAGAGGACTGTCACATCGTGTCGTACAGGTCAGCCCGATGTCGCAGCGCTTGCAGACGGACAGGACGCGCACCTGGTAAGCAACACCATGTTTGCGCCTCTCTAGCGGCGCGCAAGCCTGGTGGCGGCAGGGAGGAGAGCGGGAAGGCCTCGGCTAAGCCGTCGGTGCAAATATATGGGAGCGCTACTTATGCAATGTGCGCGGAGCTCCATCGGACCTGGCGCAGAACAGAGCTGAGGGAGAATTATTCGCCCCGCAAGGTTCTGTCATCTGACGGGCGTGCACGGCACACCTGGTGCGCGCGTGTAGTATATGTCTGTACCTGTGGCTTCAGGCCGGCCGTGCATCATCCACGCGCGCGAAGTGCGGAAGTATCATGGATGGATGTACGCGGAGCATCAGAGCGGTGGGGATTTGCGGGAAACTCACGCGGGCTCCGTGGAGCGATGGCAGGGGTGATGAATAGCATAAGATACACGAGATGGTACACTGCTCAAACCGACATTTTTAACACAGGCTTTTCCGAATCTCGTACTCAAGCACTCGTCTGGACTGCAGGCGCAGAGGGCGCGGCTGGTGCCGCCTCCTGTGTCTGTTCTGTCAGGGTCTTCTCCTTGAGCTGCGAGACGGGTCAGCCATGGAACGGGCATCGGACAGTGCAGGACACAACAACGCACCTTCTGCTCCGCGGCGGCCTTGAGCTTGAAGTAGTCCACATGCAGCCCACACTCCGTCTTCTCCGCCTTTCCCGCCCAGCGCCCCGCACGCTCGCCCTGGTCACCGTCGCCACTCTTCGCGGTGCTGTGCCAGTCGCCGACGCTCCGGTAGCCCTGGCTGAGCAGCTTGTTCCGCGGTACGTCGTTCTCGTCCACGTACCACTGCACGAACGGGAACGTCCACGCGAAGAGCGGGTTCAGCTTCACGAGCCCGGTGCTGTCCACCTCGAGCGGCTGCAGGTTCGCGCGGTCCGCGCCCTGCGACGCCCGCCGGCCAGTAATGACGGCCTTCACCCCGAGCTCCTCGTACGCTCGCCACGCGGGCTCGACCTGCATGGTATATGAGGCTAAAGAGGAGGGTAAGGGCAGCCAAAGGATACGCACCTTCACAACATAGTCGTACGTCGTCTCGTCCTTCTCCCAGAACTTCTCGCCGTACTTTTTCTCAAAGTCGGCGACGGTCTCGCACCCCTCGGGCCTGTAGACGTGCACGTTGCGGCGGTATCGCTTCTTGACGTCCTCGACGAGCTCGTACGTCTCCGGGAAGTGGTACAGGGTGTCGATGAAGATCAGCGGGGGCGGGTTCTGCGTGATCTTCGAGAGCATGTCGATCGCGACGAGCCCCGTGAGCCCGAAGGCGGTCGTTTGGTATAGGCCGGGGACATGCTCGACGGCCCAGGCGAGGATCTGCTCCGGTGTCAGGTCGCGGAGGTAGGCATTGATGCGGTCGATCTCCTCTTGCGCGAGAGGGAGCTTGAGGGGCTTGTCGAAAGTCGGCTTGGAAGTGGACATGACTGAGATCGACTGAGATTTGGATGCGCGTGAGCGGACAGGAGTAGCAGTGGGGTCAAAAGTTAGTTATTCCGGTCGCAGGATGCAGATAGTCGGACAGAGTCGATAGACCAAGCTCTCAGTGAAGAGGGCCATATTCATACACAAGCTATATAAATTGGAGGGAGGAGTGTGAATGGGCGTGCAAGGAGTGGTCGACGCCATTTTCGCGAGCGCACCAACTCAGCGAGCATGATTCAGCAGACGGCGCTCAGTCACGCTCAGCCCTCCTGCGGCGAATCGTGTACGTGACAACTCGCAGAAGAGAGAGACATTTCCACGCAGTCGTCAGGACATTTGGAATAGTAGATGGTAGCCTACAGTAGCATGTGCATAGATGAGGCTGCGACAACGTAGATCACACGAATCTTACAGGGCGCAACCAGTCAGATACATCACATTGGGCCTCGAGAGAAACCCTTGTGGGATTGTTGGCTGGAGATGCATGATGCCCAAACCGCAGTTATTCAACCAATTACCGTTTGAGAGCTGCGCAGGCCTATGTATAGTTGTGCACAGGAGCATGCTGCGGCCACCGGATGTAAGAGACGTCGAGGACGTGTTGCTGCGAGAAAGTTCCGTGTCTGTGGCTCAAGTTTCGGGCCCTGTGGGTTGATCATGTCAGCGTGAACGCACATGCACAACACGGCAAAGCCGACTCCGTCCTCAGAGAGTTCTGAGGATATGTAATTGCTCAGCTTGCAAATTACGTGCCGTCATCCAGCTACTCAGTCCGTTCCCTCGAGCGGCTTCTGGCTGCAGAAACCTGAACGAGGACCCGGGCAGCTGATCGGGAATGTTGCTTATTGTCCTCCCAGCTATCTCGTCCAACAGACATTACACAAACGCCAGAAGTATGACCCACCTCGTACACTGTAGCCGCGATGTCATGTGGGACATGGACCGTACATACTCGTCTCCAGTTCCATCCATACGTTGAGATCGTCCTGACAGTGCCCATAGCTTGTGAGAAGTAGAAGGACGGAATTAGTGTTCAGCAGGAGCTGGACAAAGGTCCACAATAATTTAGGTCATTTTGAGAGATGTGCTTCTGGACACGGACAATGATGTGGAGGAGTAGGGGAGAGTTTCAGGCTGGCAGCCGGCTGAACCAGCAGCTCAAGCACAAGTCCACGCTATATTGACATTAAGAAGGCATTAATCAACACCTCTGATAGCTCAGTTGGTAGAGCGTGGGACTGTAATGGAAACATGGGTCATCCCAAGGCCGCTAGTTCGATCCTGGCTCAGAGGATTATTTTTGATGGTATCCCTGACCACATTATTGCAACCATCTTATCCCCTTGCTCATGATCAGTACGCCCACAATTTTGGAAGAGAAGTGGTACTCAGGCTGTGTCCACAACAGCGTACTATTGCGGAGCCAATATGAGAAAGACGTGGTTCAACGGGCAGATTGTAATGAGATACACACGCAGCCTGATGCAATAAGTTATGAAAATTGTACATAGCCGTCATTTCCGCATCCTCTTCTTGAAGCGTTCCATGACCTTGCCGAAAGGTAAGAGGGTAATACGCACATACTGTGATTGTTGTGCTTACAATCTCGTCCGTGGCCATTTGTGCCCGATCCGAATGGCGACGAGCCTCATGGTCCTCCGGGTTGAGGCCCATAGCCTCGAGCTTCGCATCCCGAAGGATGTCCGCATCCGACTTCGCCTTGAGGTTCGGGCGGTAGACTGGGGCACGTAAGCTGCAAGGACAACAAGCAGGAGTTCGTGCGAGTGCTCACATCGTGCAGCTGCAAGGTGGGCTTCGTCGTCTTGCTGCTTTTGCCTCTCCTTCCGCTGCTCCGCGATCAGTCGTTTCGCCTTCTCCGTTTCTTCGATGTTCTTCAGACGAGCACTGCATGAAGGTGTCAGCAGCGAGAACGGGACGAGGGGCCGCGGAAAAGACGTACTCCATGCCTAGGTCCACTTCCGGAATGGCAGTCAGCATGGCCAAGCTGTTTGTCACGCTCCCCTCCTCCTGATCCTTCTTCTGCGTAGGCTGCTTGTACTTCTCCGTGATGCGGAACACCTCCGCATACGGATCCGCCTGTCCTTCCGCCTTCTTGGCCTCCTCCTTGGTTCCTCTTCGCATCTTCATGTTCTCCTCAATGTATGCCATCCTATTCCAAGAATAAGTGTTATGAGCCAAAAGGATCGGGGGTTGGCGTACATATGCTTGTCCACATCGAGCGCATTGGTCTGTTGCGTGAAGTTGTTGGAGCGGACGACCTTCCGCGCCTTCGCCTCCGCGTCCTCAGCATCCCTGCACCTCTATCAGCGTACGCCATACTACGTACCGGCAAAGACTCACTCTTCTTCATGGTCGTGGGACGCACCGGGTCTCAGGCCAGAAACAACCTCCTCCTCTTCCTTTGGCCTCCTCCGCTTCTTCTTGATATCCCCCTTCGACAGTTTGGCCACATCTATGCCCTCGCGCGCTTTACGCAGTTTCCTCAGCTCAATGAGGTCTGCGATGCTGGGGAAGCCATGGGTGAGACCGCAGACTACGCGCGAACGGGGGCAGCCACCGAGTACCTACTCTAGTTTCTCTTCCTCCTGCTCCTGAGTCTCCTCCGCAGCCGGGGACTCATCCTCGCGTTCGATGGATATTTGTCGCGCTTTCGGTTGCGGCCGCGAACGTTTTCTAATCATAATGTCCAGCAGAGCTCAGGGAGTAGCGGTGGGGTAAGTACAGCAGAGGGGCAACTAAGTTCGCCCGAAACAAGCCACAGCGCCCAATCACGTGCATGAGCAATCAAGCGAGTCGCGCCGCATATGAACTCAGATGCATAGGAGAAGCCAGGAGTGCATGAGTAGTACAGGTAATCAATACAGCTACACAGTAACATGAACCAAGCAAACATATGCAAAACATCTACCGAGACTCGACAGTAGGTGATCCCGAGCTATGGACAAGGGCATGTACAGATGACACTCCCGTAGTGTCAGAGGGACTGGACGATACGTGACCTGAGGCCAAGGCAGACGTAGACGAAGTGGTGGGGTTGTTAGCATCTGCAGAGGATGGCCCGTGTGAGACGACATCAGGGAACAACGCGTCGTATTGATGTGGCTGTAACGCCTCTGGTGGACGGAGTCCACCCCGGCGCAGCCGGGGGGCAACGACCTGGGGCCGGTCCTCGTCGTTTTCGCCCGAAGCGGAGCCAGACGGGAGGCCTGCTGTACCTGCCATGGCGGGCTCCGAGGTGGATGTAGTGGTAGACGTCAAGGTATACCACAGGTGCGACGAGCTGAGGCCCCCGTTACTCGAGGCGGCGCCGGACGGCTCCGCCATGGTGTCAGATGTCGACCCGGCGTTACCTGCAACACTCCCGGATGTTGATGGTACCGACCGTCGGCGAATAGTAGACCAAGGCAGGAGACCATAGGGATGGATTGAGTCGGCTGTGAAGGAGGATTCGGAGGGGCGACGGGTGCCAAAAAGGCTCGGTCGCCCACTGTTATCCCCGGACAAGGAGTCCCCTCGAGGACCGTCCTCTTGTGCAGTGCTGCTCCGCATCGCAGATCGGCGACGACTGGTAAAATCGTTGAAGTCCATTGTACGGGAGCGATGCGCACGACGGATGGAAGATTGGCGTGTCAAAGAAGAGCTAGGTCCGCTTGAGCTCCCAAATATCAAGGTGGACCTCGTAGATGGAGGGGACTGGGGACGCGGATTGATGGAGGTCCAGTTTGCATAGCCTGGTTCCGCCGGGCCTGTAGGGAGAGGAGAGGGGGGAGATACTGCTCCTGATTCCGTTTGACGCGACAACGACCCGGGGAGATCATACGTTGAAGGAAAGTACGCATCGTAGAGATCCGTGTTAAGTCGGGCCCCTTCGACAGTGCCAGATGGGTTGATCAAGTTGCCGTATTCTTCGTCACCGTCGGACTCAGATAGTATGTCGTGGAAAGCACTGTAAGATGACCTTGGTGGAAGGACTGGAATGCTGCGCCGTGAAGGGCGATTCCTTAGGTTACTTTGGCCGCTGCGATAGATGTGAAGAGGCGCAGCCTGCATGCGGAGTGACTTGGCAGTCCGCTCAGATATGAGACGACGGTCAACGGGGTTGGGCCGCGTCCGACGTTCAGCCATTTCCTGCCATTGGATGCGTGAGATACTGTGACCGTACGTAGGGGACGTGCACACACACCTTGACCAAGACGTCAATCAAGGACGTTGTAAACGAGTCTCCTTCGTCCAGCTCCTCTACAAAGGTCTCATAGGATATTGATGGGCCATCCTTTTCGACGTTCATGCGTTTGACGGCTCCCTGGCTATGAGTTGGTTAGCCACAGAAGATGGGAGGAACAATTGGGTACTGACACCATGCTTTTCATCTTATTGCGTAGCACTTCATCGTGGTGCTCGAGAGTCCTGTATAGAAGTAATCATCAAGCAACTATTCGGGCGTCGCGCAGGGAGAACACGAACCATTTGCCCATCGTGCCTGTATAAGAGGAGGAAGATGGTGGTAGACAGAGTGAGGATTACAGTGGCGTTACCGCGGGCTAAAGAAAATGCTCCGTTTTTCAACTGCTGATTGGCTGCTTACGCCTTTTACTGGAGGTTTTGGCCAATAGGCCCTTATCAGAGGCTGTGGTTGGCGATTGGGCCTCACGCTACCGCACGCTTCTTGCCCCGAACCGTCACCACCTCCCTGTCGTCCGTCTCCTGCAGCCTCCTCTACCGTCTCGCATTCACTTGCGTAGCACTGGTGAGTATTGAGAAACACTCAGAATGGGAGCGCAAGCGGTAACAGAGATCAGCGAACTCGTTGCTTTCTCGGATTACAAACAACCCGACCCCAACACCCATCCCTCTGTCCACGCTCATTTTCTTGCTCGTCGACCTCTGTCGTTCCCGTAGCCCACACTTGCCATGGCATACTCTCAACCGTTCCCCCTCGCACAACCCCTCCAGAAAGTGCAGCAGCCGACGTTCGGCCCAGACCTTGCAGTTCGTCTCATCTGCCCCGAATGCAGGGACCCAAACCCGAACATCGTCGAGGAGTTCAGCAGCGGGGATCTTGTCTGTGGCACTTGTGGGCTAGTGTTGGGCGATAGGATCGTCGATACGAGGAGTGAGTGGCGGGTAAGTATCTGCATTTCTCATCAGACCCTTGATTCGACTCGTGGCCTGGCCTTCCTCACACTGCACCTAGACGTTTGCGAACGATGAAGGGGACGACCCTTCCCGTGTCGGAGCCGCGTCCGACCCTCTAATGGAGGGCATGGAGCAACTCGACACGACCATTTCGTTCAGGGACGGCGGCTCGGGCATAGCGCGTGAGCTGCAGCGCGCGGCGTCGCGATCCGCCGCCTCCCGCTCGGAGCGGAATCTGCTACAGGCATTCCGCGATATTGCTAGCTGGTGCGACCAGTTCTCTCTCCCTAAAACTATCTCCGACATCGCGAAACAACTCTACAAGCGGTCGGACGAGGAGAAACTGCTTCGTGGGAAACCGCTCGAGGCCGTCATCGCCGCGTGCATCTTCATTGCTTGCAGACAAGCGCATGTTCCCCGGACGTTTCGGGAGATTTGCAACCTCACGCACGTTAGCAAGAAGGTCCTGGGGCAATGTTACAAGGCCCTCGAGCAAGCCTTCAACCTCACGCCGGGCGCGTCTCAGGACCGCCACGTGAATGCACCCAGCGGTACCACCGGCGCCGAGGACCTCCTGGTCCGGTATTGCAACCACCTCGATCTACCTCCGAATGTCCAGCCCATCTGCTCGGACATAATCGTGAAGGCGCGCGAGCTGGGCATCGCGGACGGACGTTCGCCCGTCTCAATTGCTGGTGGCGCCATCTACTTCACCTGTTGCCTGCTTGACAAGCAGAAGTCGGTCAAGGAGATCAGCGCGGTCGCGGGTGTCAGCGAGGGCACAATCAAGCTCGTTTACCGGCTCTATTATGCGGAGAAGGAGAAGCTGGTGAAGGAGGAGTGGATTAGGGACGGCAAGGCGAAGCTGGAGAGGCTGCCTGTGGAGAGTGGGTCGAAATGAGAGGTGGCCGGTCGCTTACTCTATCCATGGACTATAATCCTCATCCGCTGTATGTATACATATGGATATGGCAATGATACTTGTTATGCCAAGATGGCGTGGGTTTCCTTGAGATTTCGGGAGGATTCGATGTCGTGAAAATCGTCACAGAAGAACAGTCAAGCGGCATACACATGATATACAAGTCACAAGTTGCAGACTATCGTTTACCCTTCTTGCCCTTACTACCACCCTCC